ATAGCTCACAGGAAAGGGCTGCTGTTGAGATATTATGCGTGCCACCCCCACCTTCTAGCTGTGTGTGACTTTATCTGTGCATGACAACAAAGAAATTGCTCATTAGTCCAATTAATTTATCATTTACTCGTTTATTGTTTAATCACATTATTAAAATCTAACAATGCCAGCAGATGGTACACACAATCAGATGTCTGCTAGGCCAGGTCTGCCCATTTACAGTGCAGATGCCCTGCAAAGCTATTGGGCAGTCTGTTAAGCCCAGTCCCATGTTTAGAATGGACAGAAACAACCAACCAAAAATAGTTTTAAGTCTTCATCAGGAATGAAGCTACATACATTAATGAAAAAGAAATTATTCTTTTTAAAAATTTTATTATTTTTATGTGCATTGGTGTTTTGTCAGATGTATGTCTGTGTGAGGGTGCCAGATCTCCTGGAACTGGAGTTACAGACAGTTGTGAGCTGCCATGTGAGAACTGAATCCGGGTCCTCTGGAAAAACAGCTGGTGCTCTTAACCAATGAGCCATCTCTCCGAATTATTCTTACATCTATTTAGTTTATTTTTTGATTCATTTTCTGGAAGACCAAAATATAAACGCGAATTTGCTGAGACTGCGACTTCTGGGCAGTTTTGGAGAACAATTCACACTTGTAACCCTACTTTTGCCACCTCTCCCTCTGAAGTCCCACCGACACGCCCTTTCCACGGCTGTAAAACAAAGCCCACCAGCTTCTGAAAGTCAAGTCTGAGCCTGCCGACCTTAAGAAAGGCTGGCTCATGTGCCAGCACATCTGTCAGGCTGTATCTGTTTCTGCTGTGCTGAAGACTGAACCCAGGATCTCATGTACACTAGTCAAGTGCTGCCTTCCTGAGCTGTACCCCAGCCCAAGGCGATCTTCAATACCCATTAGACTTGACTGCATTAATATCCATTTAAAAAGTAACCAGGGTGCCTTATTAGATCACGTAGAGAAAGCCAATTGCCAGTAACTTTTAAGTGCCTATAAAAACAAACCAAAAAGTCCACAAGAAAAATCTGGAACATCTCCAGGTAAAGTTTTCTACTCAGAACCGAGAACACTGCTTCAGTTCCAAAGGGAAATTCTAATAATTGATTGTTATACTTTGCAGATCATTCTATAGTTGGGTGACATCAATGACATAACTGTCCAACCTTCTCTATGAAATCAAGCTCCCTAAGCAAAAGCAGTAGCTGAAAACTCGCCATCTTGAGGGACAGAGATGTGTGTCGCCTATTAACTGTTCCAAGGTTGTGATGTCTGGAACACTTTGGGGGAGGTTTTACCCCAGTCCTGAGTGGTGAGCCATGCCTATAATCCTAGCATCCCAGCACTCCACAGACAGGAAAGGGGCAAGTTCAAGGCCAGCCTGGGCTATATAGAGTTTTAGGCTATCCTGGACTAAAATCCTGTCTCAGAAAAACAAAACAACTGCCCCAAACGCTAGAACATTCCAGAGTGACTCACACATCCTACTTCCAGTGAAACTACACTTAAGACACAAAAGCAGTAGGCAAACGGTGACACATGTGGCTTACGCTTCTGTGTCCAGGAGAAGTCCTCTTCCTCCCTCCTTCACCTTCAGATTCACCTCTTCATCCATCCTTCCTATTCTGCAGCTTCCCAGGACCTCTCTGCCCTCCCCCTTCTCTCTATACCACTCACTCCTGCCTGTGGCCAGAAAACCTCAGTTTTCGAGGAAAGCGGTAGGGAAAAGAGAAGGGACAGACATTATAAAAGAAAAGGAAGTAAAGAAATCCTTTGCTTACTAAACAGCTACCCCACCCTTCCCTCCTTATCACTCACTGTGCTTTAACAGCATCCCTCACGGCAAACTCAGCCCTGCCTCCTAATTTCCTCATTCTTCATTTGTCACTTCATCACAAAACCTACAGGGTCGCCAGCTATTCTTCAGGGATAACGGGTGTTCAATCCCACCCTGATCAATGCTCCAACCCCAGCCACAGCTTACAACTCCTAGGAGCACATAGAAAGTCAGGAAAAGTTCACCTGGGTCAGACAGTGGTGGTGCACACCTTTGAACCAGCACTCGGGAGGCAGAGGCAGGTCGATCTCTGTGAGTTCGAGGCCAGCCTGATCTACAGAGTGAGTTCCAGGACAGCCAGGACTACACAGACAAACCCTGTCTCAAGCAAAGAAAAAAATTTTTTAAATTAAGTTCACCTAGAGCAGAGGATAACTCTTAGTTTGAGTTGGGGATTAAAACCATTTACCTCTATTTCCAACACCATTCCTTGGGAAAAAATAATGTGTTACAATTGTTGTTAATAGCCTAAAAGGATATAACCTAATCAGAATTTGGGACAGCCTACCATTTAAATATTTCCTGATAAATGACAAATAGGTTATTATAGACTTGTAAATGTACACATTTATGGAATATCTGTATTTTAAAGAAGGTAACCATTGGGATACCTCTGAGTAAACCAAATAGATTTACTTATCCAGAATTTGGTTGCTTAAGTATCCAGACTCTAAAGCTAGTGACACTCTAACCCAGAGCCCTAGAGAAGACCCGGATTCCCTTCCCTGAGGCCCAAGACACTGTTAAACACTTTCCTGATGACTCTCAAAGAAAATCTGAACATGCTAGGCAAGTAAGTACTAGACTGCTAAACTACATGCCCAGCCAGGATCCTGCATTTTGAATTAATTATTCCAAGGCACCGGTCTACATTTTCAGCAAACAGACATTCCTTCAGAATTTCCACTTGAATCTTCTCAGCTCTCAGTCTCTCATTTACCTCATTTCACTTTGCCAGGGTCCTCCTCATTGAAGGCTTGCATTTTGCTTTCTCTGACTAGTCAACTGTTTACAACAGGAACAAGCTCTTAGGCCTGAGTCTGGCTCTATGGCTTAAAGCTTTGGCTTCAGCTGGTACATTTTAGGTTTCTCAAGGTCCACTGAGGACTCCGTGTTCATGGCTTAAACAAAGCCCTCTGTGGAACACGAGCTTCAAAAGCGGAAGTTGTCCACTCTTTACCAGGCTGGCTGTCCTTGACAGCCTGCACTCATCCAGCACGACCCCTGACTTCCTGTGTCTCCAGAGAGAACCCTCCTTAGGAATGCCTGGTCAGCTACAATGGCTGGCCACCTGCATTAGTCCCTCCAAACTGCTTTCCCTCAAGCCAACAGCAGACCAGACAAACAAGTTCCAGAAGAACCCGCATCAGAGACAGAGGTAAAGCCTCACGGCTGAAATCCATCAGGGAACAAATCCTAAGGGTCAAGCCTCCTATTACAAGAAAAAAAAAATTATCACAGTCAAAGTCAGCAGAGTATCTGAAGAAACAAACCAAACTCATCACACACAAGTGCACACATATACATGCATAAATAACATGCAATAGCCTGTTAAAAATACTAATAAAGCTGCCTCATGGGTAGAATGTCATACATATGAAAACAGACAAAGTCTTCAAATAGTTGGATGCCAAGTCTGTCAAAATATTTATGCTAAGGAAGAGGTTTTTGCCTACAATTAGGAGTAGACAGAGAAACAAATTGGTATTAGCCGTGAGAAGAAAAGGCAAACGAACTAAGGAGCTTTTTACCAGCAAAAAAGAGGAAAGGTAAAGATGATGATGAAGAAAAACTCCCTAAGAGCATGTGAAAATTAACATAACTCAAAACAATTTGCTTGGCAATTTCATCTACTTAACTCACCCACTAATTCCCACCCCCTCCTTTGGAGCCCCACTTTGCAGTCAGTATGTTTCTACAAGTCACATTTCAAGATGTGAGCTCTCAAAGACTATGTTTGCAACCTAAGGATAATCTGAAGACCTCATAATACAAAAGAAGCACTGCAAATGCAACGCAAAGGCTACTTTCACAACCACAGAGAAAGAAGATGGGGTTATTTCCTCTGCCTCCTTTCCATTCCTTCTTGCTGCGCCCATTCCACACCTAAAGCGCCTACGAGGCTCCTTGTTTGCCCACATACAGAATAAAAGGAGAGAACCAGAACGCTTCAGGACACTTACAGCTGGATACCATTTTCTTCAGTGTGTGGCCACTCCACGGTTAAGGTGTCTAGGCTTCGGTAAATTACTCCCTATTCACTCACACCCATTCAAGCAACAGTAATGAAGTTTAATAGGTCATACAAAAACAAGGCTCGCACAAATCAAAAGGACATGAAAATAAAGGGGGAGCTTCTTGAGAAGAAGAAAGGGGTCAGTGGGAGTGGAGTGGGGTGAGGGAGAGGGATGAGGGCAATAGTGAAAATGACAAAAATACATACAAATATGTATGAAATTGTCAAAGATTAGTAAGTACTTTAAAAAAACTAAACACAGAACATCAGATGCATCAATAAACACTATGCTGTAAGTAAGACTGAGATACAAAATGCAAGGACAGCACTGAGTAATAGGGAGTTCAGAGTAGGAAGGAAATACTTCCGACTACCACCACTCCATGAAGCCAGGGTCTGATAAGCTGAGCCACTGAAGATGAGTAAAACCGCAGTAAGAGAGACGGAATAGATTGTTCATACACAAAAGGAGGAAGGCAACCGTTTCCTGAATTTCCCTGCTATGGCCTGAGGTCAGCAAGTAAAATAATGCTTGAAGAGTGGCAAGATTGGTACATGTAGGATATTCCAACAATGGCACCTTATGTAAATCATGGATTTCATAAACCTCACTGAATAAACCAATTTCCTGCCAAAGGTTCTGCATTGGTGCATGGGGACCCTGGGACTGTCTAGGCCATCCTTGTAGTAGCTATACTACTTTGGATTGGCTAAAGTATTATAAGCTTGCCATACAAATACCCATTCCAACTGTTTGACAAAAAGAGTTTGAACACAGAACTGCTTTGATCTACACTTTCTCAATCAGTTCCTGAATAAGTGATTTTCCTCTGCAGTCTATATCACAGAGTTGTTGAAGGCTAATTACAATGATGCATGCAAAAGTGCATGTCTAGCTGACACCTACGTATTACCTGGAAGGCTGATGTCTAGGATCAAGTTGCAGCTGGCCATCTGGAGCGTCACAGGGCTCTTGTACTTCATACAAATTTGCATCAGTGTCCTCCACACTGCTGGAATTCTGCCATCCCAACTCTGGAGCTTTCCCACCAGTCATAACAAAAGGCAAATTTTCATACTCGGGTATCTCCTCATAATGGCGTACATTTTCATACTCTGGTACACAGCCACTTGTACCAGACTTGTAAGATGCCTGGCAGGATGAGTCCCTAGAGAGCAGCTGGTCATCCAAAGACTCAGCTCTCTGACCATTAGCTGTGCTGGTCTGGCCCCAAGATCTCGCCTTTTGAGACTCCAGGCTGCAGTTTTCTGCAGAATTTGCCTTTATGGGTTTACTTCTCTTTTCTTCTCCTGTCACTAAACCCTGCCAATCACTTTCAAGTCTCTGCGGCTCTCTACTGAGCACATGTCCTGTCATGGCATCTGCTTGCTGGCAATTTTTCGACCTAAATTTCTGAAAGTCGCTCTTTATGAAACCAATGGACAGTTTCACATTAATCAACTTTTTAAAAGAAGTTTTCTTTGGAGGCTCTTTGCAAGGTTTATTACACCTGTCCATATCCACAGCCGATAATGATTTTGCTCTTGGCTTGGTTAGGGAAATAGATGGCTCACTATTTAAGGATAAAGTGACATGCTTCAAGGACTCTGGGCTCCCTGAAAAAGGTAAAATAGGATGAGGTAATTTCCACACTGGCTTTTCTGAAGTTGAGTGAGGCATATCAAAAGATGACGATAAAACACCACGGCTTGAGGGACCCAAATGCTGAAGGTGATTTCTTTCTAAACCTTTCTCTGAATTTGTTGCTTTGCTTGAAGAATAAGAATTTTTTTCTACAAGTTCCTCAGAAGCAGCCTTCTTAAGCACTCCCGCAGCGGGCAAGCTATGTCTTTGAGGTTTTTTGGGAACAATTTTAGAGGAAGGTTCCTTTTGTATTTGAGGAACAGACAATTCCACATTACAGGTAGTTGGCGGATGTTCAGTGCAGGATAATTTGACTTGCTTAGGCAAGCTCTCAGACTGAGTACTGCATTGTACAAAACTAGTCTCTTTGTCCATAGCAGGTAACACCCCAGAAACATCTTCTGCTGTGCTGTCAGGACTCCAAATAGAGTCTGCATCTAAAGCAGGCGTCTCTTTTGCAGAGGAAGATGTTTCATGACGCACAGCTTTCTGTGAGTTGACTGAGTCTTGTCTGTCACTCTTGGAATCACTAGTCACTGCCCTTTTATTGGCTGGCTTCACTTTGTCCACTTGTCCCTGGTTACACAAAACCTTCTGATGAAGAACACTGGCTTGATTGTTTTTCAAACTATCTTCAAGGAGACAAGAAGAGGCACTGTTTGAATTCTCTGGCTCTTCGGTACTTTCGCTAGGAGTATCTACACACTTCTGGCGAAGTAGACGAGCAGCGTGTGTCCTTCTGGGTTTGGGGGTTGGAAACTTTGAGGTATAGGGTAATAAGTGAATTTCTAAAGGGCCAAGATCTGTGACCTCTGTCTTCTTACTAGCTCCGTCTGAAGGCATCTTTCCGTCATCTAGTTTGCACGAATGAAAGTGACTATTGCTCTCAGCGTTCCCAGTGTGACAAGTCTCGAGGTTTTGAGATTCCTCCCTAGGGAGCTGTGGGTGGCAGCTATGATGAGCAGGAACTTTTTCAAAGCTGGACAGGGAAGGGGACAGAGCTGCAAATTCAATTCTGATCTGTCTGCTGCAGTTATAGTCGCCATTCACTTCTGTGTTGTTTGGAGATCTGTGCTTCTTCGGGGAACTACAAGGTGACTGCTGTCGTGTTAGAACCTCTTTGAGCTTCTCTTCTAAGATGCTTGCTTTTAAAATAACTCCACTCTGGCTCCGGCCCTTTTCACCACTGGAATCCCACCTATTCCCCCGCTTTGCAGTTAAAGAGGACTCACTGATTTTATTATTCTCTAAATTTTCTTTCATTCCCAGAGGCTCTAAAACAAGCTGCTTTGCACATAGACTTTCTCTATTCCCAGGCTCATGAATACACCCAGAACTGCAGGAACACGTTGGTAAATTATAATCACTGTGTGGATCCCCGACATCTTTGCAATTAAACTTGTCCGTGCTTTCAGGTAATTCTGGCTCCCATTCCTCCAGGTTCAAAGGGAGCTTCTTTGAGGGTGACTGCTTGATGTCTTGAACAACTGAGTTTGTCAGAGCTTTCGGTTTTGGTGCAATTGTCGGCTTGGTTTTCTGTGTTAACCGTGGAAAACTAGCATTCACGATGTCCGGTTTAGGTGCAATGGGAGGGGGGCGGTGGCTTGTTGTTTGTCCCCATTAACTTTGGCTTGGGGGCCAATGGTGGCTTCTTAAGCTCTAGAAAGGAAAATACAATAATTAGACAGGAGAGGATATAAAAACACATGACATTTTCCTGTTTTTACTTGTTTTCTGTTAAAAGGTCTTGCTATGAAATCTTGTCTGGCTTGGTATCTACAACATAGCTTGGGCTGGTCTCAGACACACAGCCATATGCCTTTCTTTCTAATGCTGAGATTACAGCATCACTGTTCAGTGATACAGACAAGATCTGTGTGATGGCATGTATTAAAAAATGTTTACCTGACACAACCCCCAAAATATTCTGAAAAATTAACCAGACATTTTTTACCCCCCCCCCCCAAAAAAACCTGAAAGTAAATTCTTTGGTATTAATTGAGGTTCATATTGAGGCTGGTATTTCTCTGTCCAAGGATCAATTGGGAATCTCATGATATTTCTTCATGGAGCTTTGTTACATGTCCAGGCCTGGCTCCAGATCAAACAATCGGAGAGTATCCGAATATATAATCTGTACATCTGTATTCCTTTCATCTCCCATGGATGACTGACCATGTCTTTTATCCTTCACCAGTTGTGTGTTGTTTCTCTGAGCAAGGGTTCTCATTATGTAAGCCCGGTGGGTCTCAGACTCACCATCCCTCTGCTGCAGTGTCCTGAGGGTTGCAATTATGGCTGCACCATCAAGCCCAGCACTAAAGGATGACCACAAGTTATGGTGCAGCAACTCTTCCTCGCCATTACATGTCAAGAATTTCATCAAGTCCTATTATACAATGGTGCATTTGTGCAGGCCTGCTCTTAGCCTACATGAACTTGACAAAGCTTTACACAGGGGACCATCATAAGGGAGCTAGAGAAGATGACTCTGGCTAAGCGTGCTTTCAGTTCAACCATGCAGGCAGAGTTTGCTTCCAGCACCCACATCAAGAAGATCACAACAACCTGTAACTCCGGCTCAAAGGGATGTGACACCCTCTTCTGGCCTCTACAGGCACCTGCACTCAAATCTGACCAAACACTCAAACAGAAACACATATAAACAAAACAAAACAAATCTTTTTTAAAGACCCCAATAAATCTAAAGATGATACACTCAGACTATATTTCTTCTAAGTTCCTTTAGGATCTTCTAGTTGTCAATCATGCTTCTCTGAGTGGCTTGAGTTCAAACATATTTTATCTTATACTTCTTAAAGTAGCTTCTTCAACAAGATCTAATACTTGATTTTTAAAAAGCTTATTTATAAAACAATCTCAAAATATATGCTGCACAGGACTGTCGACATTGTTTCATTTTCTTGCACACAGAGAAGCTTTGATATTTCATTCGCATTGATTTTCTTTTCAACAAAGGAAATTAGTCATAACGCTCAGAAAAATATTACATGGAACAGAGTAAAAGGAAAAAAGGGGGGAGGTGCTCTACTTCCTCTTCCTAAGCAAAAAGGGATTTCTCAAACTCTGGTATTACATGCACAGCCAAGATTATATAACAGATACCGTATCAAACTCAGTTCCTAGGCATAAGGTTATCATAAAAAAGGCAATCAATTTTCAAAATTAAAAAATTCCCAAAGCAGGCAATTTTCAGTTAGCTGTTCAATACACTTGTTATTAGCCTGAGGTTTGGCTCTTGTGGTTTTTGGCAATGTTGAAATAGTATATTAAGTTAAATTCACCATCCATCAAGTCAAATCTTAAGGGAAAGTGGGACTGCCTGAGGACTTGTCCCATTCTCCCTCCTCATTAAATAAGAGCTGACAGCCTGTCATGCTGATTTCATTTCTGTCATGCTTACAAAGTCCTAGCTCTGGGATTGTTTTAAAGAATTAAAAATATGAATTTTTACAAGACAAAATGAGTTCTGGAGAGCAGTTACTACAATGTTCTTAACATTTCTGAACTGTACACTTAAAAATAGTAAAGACAGCTGAACATAATGGTGCTTGCCTATAACCCTAGGACTTGCTACTTAGGAGGCTAAGACAGGAGGATTACTATGAGTTAGAGGCTAGTAAGATCCTGTCTCACTCACACACACACACACACACACACACACGCACACACACACACACACACACACACACACAAAGAAGAGGCTAAAATTATCTATCTTACCACAGTTAAAGAGAAATTCAGACCAGCCAGATGGCTCCCCAGATAAAGGTACTTGCCACCCAAACCTGGGGACCCGAATTCAATTCTCAGAGCACATGTAAAGGCTGGAGGACAATTGTCTCCACAAAGCTGTTCTCTAATCTTCACATGCACACTGTACCCCTCACACCAGTCAACACATATACACACAATAATAATAATAATAACAATAATTTTTTCAAAGATTTCTTTTTTAAAAAGACATTTTAGTCAGGCAATGATGGCTCATGCCTTTATTCCCTGAGTTCAAAGCCAGCCTGGTGTACAGAGAAAGTTCCAGGATGGCCAGAGCTACAGAGAAATCCTGTCTCAAAAACCCAAAATAAATAAAGAAATAAACAAACAAACAAATAAGGAAGGAAGGGAGAAAGGAGGGAGGGAAGAAGGAGGGAGGGAGAGAAGAAGGAAGGAAGGAAGAAAGGAAGAAAGGAGAAGAGATCTCATCTCATTAATCTTTTACTTTTTGATATTTCTTTACTTTGAGTCTAATCAGAAGGTTCAAGGTCATTTAATCAAGTCATTTTGCTTTTCAGTGCAAACATTTTATTACCACTTATTTTGCTGCTATTATCTTGCCATGCATCCCCAAGCTGGCTTCAAACTCTTGAATTCTCCAGCTCAACCCTCCCTAAAGCATTTCATTACTCTCTAGTACCAATTTTAGCCCTCCCTTCCATCCTATGGCCTCGCCCTCCCTAAATCATAATCTCTAGTACCAATTCCAGTACTCCTTTCGAGCCTGCTTCCAGGAGACAAATTCCTCTTCTCTCTTAATGTCACAGAAAGCCAGTTAAGTGCATGTGAGCCAAGGCTGACTCCCAGGAAACACAGCACCAAGTTATGTCCTACAGCCTGCAATGCATGGTACGTATTAACTAACTGTGGACTTGGGCTGACTAGTGTTAATTACTTGTGTATGCATGTGGAAGTAGTCAATAAGGTTAACTCAGAATCCAGCTTATTCATGGTCTTATTCACTGTATCCTCGGTGCTGACAACATCCAATTTAACATCAAATGGTGTTCTGAAGGCTAAAGAGATGGCTCAGTGGTTAATAAAATACATTATATACTGTTCTTACAGAAGACCCGAGCTCAGTTCCCAGCACCCATGCAACCAGGGTAGGGCCTGGGGGGTGAAGACAGTGGGTGGGGGGAGAGTTCTACAACCGAATGTAAGTCCAGTTCTAGGGGAATCCAACAACCTCTTCTGAACTCTGCTGGCACCTGTGTTCATACATCCACAAGCCTCCACCCACCCCCCCACACACACACGCACACACGCACACTTTTAAAATAAATCTTTAAAAAAACTGATGTTTTGAAAAGGGGGCAGGATGAAGTTCAATAGGATTGCTGTGTAATTCCTTCATGACTAATAGGAACAAGGGTTTGCCAAGTCACTGGCACAGCAATATACAAAAATCTCTCCTTACTGTTATTTCTTTCTTTTCAGTTTTTGAAGGCAGGCTTTGGAGTGTAACCCTGGCTATCCCTGAAGTGTGTCTTTCAGGCTCACCCTCTCTAGTACTGGGATTGTAGGGCATAATACCATGCCAGCTTCATTACACTTTTAACTATATTTCATGGAGGGGGGGCTGGCCCTTCCATTGCACACATGTGTTAGATGACAACTTGAAAGAGTTGATGCTCTCATTTCATTGTGTGGGTCCCAGGGATCAAACCCAGGCCATCAGGCTTGACAGCAAGAGCCTAACCCATTGAGCTGCCTCACTGGCCCATATTATTTTTAATGGCTGTATTCTGAAAGAAACGTGGCTACAAACAACACTAACAGGACATTATATTATGATGTACTCCAGTGTCAAACCTTGAAATCAGTACACGATGTTTGGAAATGAATCCTGCACCTCTGGATCTTGACACTGTATTAACAATCAATCAGAACCAAATGCTTTTTTGAGGCAATGCAGCAAATCTTTTATTTACACAGCTGTTTGGCTCCAGTGAACTCTAAGGTAGAACAGTAAAGCACCAGCACCATTTAACTGTTATAAACAGACTCGTCATCCGTTACACACAGGTGGCCTTGGCTCATGCGCACACGCACTCGCTTGGCTATTCCACCAGCCCCGAAGCAAAAGAGCATAGGCATTAAATTAATGAAACAGTGAAATGCATATACACACAATAATAGATGACAGATAGATATTTATAATTGTCATACACTACTTAGAATACTTCCAAAATCTCTTCTATGAGCTCACTCTTCAACAGCTGCAGAAAAAAAAAAACACACAGCAAGCTCTTCTTCAGGGTACACATCACTTTAATGTTGTACAACAACCCTCCCAAATACACCAGAATAGACTAAAACACTCTCTACTCCATGAGTAATTTTCCTCAAAGCTTTAATAAATGTCATTGTTCTGACCCACATATACATGGCTTGTGAGGGCAGTGTATATGTAACTTTATCAGAAAGGGGTGGCAAGAAAGCCCTCAGTCCCCTTCCACATCCCCTAAACACAAGAAAAACTTACAATAAATCTCATCAGATGGGTGAGCAAAAAAGTAGTTAATGTTTCTCAGCAAGTCATGCTTAAAAAAAAAATCAACTAACTCAGCTAGACACAGGAAGTGTCTCTCTTTTAAATACCACAAAAATGCTGTGGATTTCCTTAATTGTAAAGTTGATAAGTATAAAAATAGCTTGCCTTATTCTAGTGTAATTCGAACAGAATGAGCATAAACTTCCAGACTGAGTCCCAGAAACTTTGATTAATTTTTAAATTTTATTTTAATTTAATTAATTCAGTAATTTTAAAAAGTTGGATGAAGGTGAGGAACAGAAAGTTAGGCTGAAAGCAGTCCACTGTGTAAGTGGAACGCCTCCCTAAATTGGAAAAGGAGAGAAATGTTTGGAAATCACTGATAGCGCACGATGATCACGTGAATGAATACGAATTGACATCAAAGAGAAAAAGAGATACATTTTCTACCCTGAATACTCCAGCCCCTTGCTTTCTTGTTGCTACTAATTTCTTGCTTGTTTAATGTAATCTGATTATCCCTAGCAGTACGACTCTTCCAAGGCTTTAGAAATACAAATCAGAGAACATTTGGTGTGCTCTTTGACAGTTTCAAGTTGCAGGAATCTTAAACAAACGCCAAAGAAAGCAAAGAAAATTTAATCTGATACTTAAGTGCTTATTCTAGACGTTACTACAAAATTTCTCATCGAAGTTTCTTCAAATGTGGAGAAAGATGTTTTTTAAAAAAATATTCCATACCTTATTAAATTCTGGTTTTAAAAATAAGCTATGTTCTTGGAAGGGTACCATAGCATCACTTGGGCACTTTAACTTGGAAAATAAAAATTGCCCCTTAAGAATGTTTCTCAGTACAATGACCAGAAATGCTTACATGGACACAAAGGTAAGCAGAGGCTTTGTCATCTGGGTGAGTGGAAGGGAGACAGACAGAAAACAAGGCTTTGTTTACACCGTCGAGGTACGACTTGGGGGGGGGGTTAAGAAAAGGTGACGATGAGGACAAGGGGAGGTGGGAGTTTTGTTTATTTGGGTTTGTTGGTTGGGGGGGCTTGGTTTGTTTTTTTCTGTTGTTGTTTTTTGTCTTTTTTGCCATCTAGTAGTGCAATTTAGTACTTAGGTAATAGGACTGAGTACTAAAACACCAGGGGTATGGCCAGTTCTGTTTAAAGCTCCTTACTAATGCGAAGAGTTTCGATCAATAAAGACTAGGGCTCAAAGCAACCCAGGCTAGGAGTTGAGTTACTCCAACTCTGGAAAACTGTCCTAGTTTAGAATAACCGACTCCTCCGCATCCGACTCCACGCTTCCCGCACCGCGCACAAGCGACATCGCCAAAGCACGGGAGCAAGCGCCGCGTCGCCGTCGCTCCACCTGGGCTCCCCGGGGCTCCCGGATCCCACCGCAGGCGAGCGACGCCCCGGGACCCCCTGACAGGCGAGCGGCCGGCGCCAGTCCCTCAGCGGCCACCCGGGGAGGAGAACCGCGGGAGCCCGCGCCCGCCCGGCGCCCGGCGCAACTTCCCAGCCCGGCGGGAGCGCAGTCTCGGACTTACCCGCGGCAGAAGTCATGACTGCCCCGCGCGGCGCACGCCCTCAGTCCATGACTCCCGTTCAGTCCGCACTCCCCAGAGTTGCAGCGGGAGACATTCCGCCCCGCACCCGAGCAGAACAGCCGCCTGAGCGCCTCACAAAGGGCAAGACGCCGGCTCCCGAGACCCTCCGGCGGCCCCGGGCGCTGGCGGCCAGCGACAGGGGACGAGCACGAGCGCCGCTCCGCCGCGCTGCCGGGGGGACCGCCAGGCGCGCGCCCGAGCGGAGCTCACGGCGGCCTCGCGGACGCGCGCCCCTCCTCGAGCCGGGAGAAAAAATGCGCGCTCCGGGCGCCCCCTGGTAGTCCGGGGATGTAAAAGGCAGACAAAAGCCATAGCTCTCTCCAATAGGAGCTCTGCAACGCCCTCCCGCTCCCGCCCCTCCAGCCTACAAGCTCACCCTCTGCTCCAATGAGCAGGTCGGAAGGGGGGAGCGTGAGCCGCAGAGCATGCCGGGAGTTGTGGTTTTCGGTGCCCCCCGAGGTGGGCAGGAGCAGGAGCCCGGGTGCCGCCTGCCCTCCTTCCTTCATTTCCCATCGTGCTGAGGCGGGTGGTATGGCGGAGAAGGATGACACCGGAGTTTGACGAAGAGGTGGTGTTTGAGGTGAGGAGGAAATGGCGGTGAGTGTGGACCGTCTTTGTCTGAAACGGCCTCGAGGAAAAGCGAGGAGGCCGAGCGATTCGGAGGGGGGAGCGAGCGAGTGACGCGCGCCTGCGGGCCTGGGTCACCGATCCCTCGCCGTTTCGGGGCCTACGGGCTGCAGCCGCCTGACAGACAGGTGTAGCCCGCCGGGTCCTGCCGTGGCTGGCCTCTGCCCCAGGCTCGACCAGAATTCCCCGACCTGGCGCCGTGGACGGGCTCTCGGGCGGGAGCCCTGATGGATCCTTACCCGATGGCTGAACCGCCCGGGGCTGCGCCTCGCTGGGGCGGGGCCGAAACGTGCGGATTCTCGCTGTACTACCTATCCTCCTCCCTTGTAGCCGTGAACCCCCCCCTCCCCGCGGGTCCGTATCCAGGAGTGCCCCCGGTTATCATCATCATGATGGTCATCGTCAAGGCGTGGCCTTTGGAATGCAGGCAGCAGGTGCCAGCTTGCTGTCAGGGTTTAGGATCTGTTAAGTGTGAGACCTGTGGCCCGTGGTGAGGGCTCTGGCATCTCAGCACCTGGGTTCCATTCTTTTGTCCTTGCTTTTTCCGCTGGGTGTAGCTAGCCAGTTCCGAATCGAAGCTCTGGTATGGATGTGAATGCTTTTGTGTGGGACTATTTTAGGATGCCTCTGCCATCTTGAATTAAAAAAATAAAGCCTAGTGTTTTTAATGCCATTTGTCCATCAGACAGGTGAAAACCCGCACCTTGGGATGTGAATGCATGTACTGAATATGTTGTATGCGTTACTTTCCCTCTGCCGACTAGATGTTAGCGAATTAAGATAAGAAAAAGAGAAGAGTTTCCCCCGTGCTGAACAGTGGGAGAGTGGGGTATGGTACAGAATGTGAAATGTTGACTATCTGTCAGTGGAAGGTTCATTTGGAAACCGTTGTCTGTCCTTAGCACTTGAAAAAAAAAAAAACTACACCCAGCAAATGGTACCCTAGATAAATCTGTGAATGAAATTAGAAAGATGGGTGGCAGAAAATGTACTACAGGAAATGCACATACACTTTCATGTATGCCAAGGATTGGGGTGGGTGAGAGTATTTAATGAGCAGTTTTAGGGGCCGGGGTGTGGAGGAGCGCCATGTAAAATGACTTAAATGTGGCTACAATATCTAAGTGGGAAACATGACTACTTTGCTATATTGAAGGGTCTAGATATGAGGGATTCAATAGAGAGAACAAAAGCATACACTTTGGAAATCAGAAAAATTAATGAAATAATGACTTGGGTAGTCATTTCTAATATAAAATTGAAAGAATGGCTACAGAGTGAAATGTGGGGAGATAAGGAGAGACAAAAGTGGGTGACTGAAAAATTTTTACCCTACTTTCTTTGATTTCTGGACATAATAAGGTTTTTAAAATTAAGAAATAAAAACATTGTATTGGGCTGAGCATGAGTTCCATTGGTATAGTGCTTGACTCAAACGCACAACAGGTCCCTTGGTTCAATACCCAGCACCACAGAGACCTGATAGGGTGGTGTACACATGCCTATAATTCCAGTTCTCAAAAGGTGGCTGTAGGAGCATCATGGGAACTTCGAAGTTAGCAGCTACTCAGTGAGTTGGAGACTAGCCCGGGATATGAGAGACCCTGTCTTTAAACAAAACATTTTGTTATAAAACATAATGCAAAAAGAAAAAGTTCTTTGAAGTTTTTTTCTGTTCAAATATATGACTATGTATGATTTAAAAAAAACATTCTAACATTTAACATACCACAGAGTTTTGAATGTATTTTTATATTTGAATATGTTAAATTTGAATTTGCCATTAATCTTGTCCCCACACACACACACACACACACTTTCTTGTGAGGGAAGGGTTTTATAATCCAAGCTGGACTTGAACTTCCCACCCTCTCACCTTGCCTCTTGAGTGCCTGGGGTTATAGGTGTATCCCATCATGCCCCACAATGATAACATATTGCTTAGTTTTACATTTATAGGTTTATCAGCCATTTAAAAATGTATTCACGATTTTGGTGCTAGGGATTGAACCCAGGGCTTGTCTATGCTTAATAAGAGTGCTACACCCTCAGCCTAGCTTCTTGTAAGTTGATTTACTAGAATTCTTTTTGTTTTGTTTCGTTTTATTCAGCAGCACATTTCTTTTATGTTTTACTATTTGATGTCAGGGTATTTTTCCTCCATATATGTCTATGCACCATATGTGTTCTTGGTGCTCTTGGAAACCAGAAGAGGGTGTGAGATACCCTACAAGAGTTACAAGCAGTATATGTCTTACACAGATATTGTCAAGCGTCATTCCACAGCAGTTGTCAAAACTCCTGTCAGCAGTGTATAATAGGTCTCATTGGGCCACCCTTACCCGCGCTCTTTCAGTCTTTGTATCGGTCTGGTGTATGAGTAGTGGTATCTCTGTGGTTTTCAGTTCTGTATCTCTATATAGGCCTTAGATGCTTAATGGTGTCTTTAATGGCCAGTGTGAGGTTTCCATTGGTTCTCTCCTACTATCAAAGAAACTATATATATATATAGGCTATGAGTCCATAATTGTATATCTGCCTCACGTCCCTTAGGCTGTATGTGACTTCTGCCCATTTTATTACGTGTGTGCGTGCGCACATGGAGGCCAGAAGACAACTTGCACGAGTTGATTCTCTGCTTACACCGTGTAGGCCCTCAGAATCGAACTTGGGCCCTCAGACATGGCAGCAGGTATCTCTGCCCGCTGAGCCATCTCACTGGCAGCCTCTGCATCCATAGTAGTTTCTTTCAAAGAACAGAATCTCATAAGTCCCTAAGATCCACTTAATCTTTTAATCTTTTTTCTTTTATGGTTAATGCTCCAAGGAAATACTTGCATACCGTAAAAATCACAAAGATTTTTCTCTAAAAACTCTATTTGACCCTTTGCAATCGATCTGCTATTTTTTCCCCATATGGATATCTGGTTGGCCTGACATCATCCCTTCCCCCATTCAAATGTGTTGGGGTTTTTTTGTTATAAATCAAAGTGCTATTTTATTTTTATTGAGACAGGCCCAGCTGTGTATCCCTGGCTGGCCTGGAACTCACTATGTAGACCAGTGTGGTTCAGCCCCACAGAGATGGTTGAAGGCTAGGGTTGAAGGCTTACATTAACACATCTGGCATCTCCCAACCTCTTTTAAAAGGCTTCCTATGTAAGCCAGGCTTTACTCAAAAACTTGTGATCCTCCTGCCTCAGCGTCCAAAGTGGATTGCAGTCATGTGTTATGTCACCACTGGGCAGGTTTTCCTATTTCCCCCTGTGTCTTGTGATTTTCCTTATTGTGCCTTTGGCTGCTCTTGACTCGCTCCCATATGATGAGCCTGTCAATTTCAGGGTTAGCAGAACCAGTGAGATTACATTAAATCTGTAGATTAGTTTTGGGAAATCTGACATCTTTATAATATTGAATCTTCTAAACGAAAACACTTACTATCTACCTTTTGGGTTTGGTTTTTGTTGCCTCATATTGAACCAAGAACTTTGTACATGTTAAGCATATTCTCTACCACCCAGCTATACCCTCAGCCTCCTTAATAAGAGTCAGGCAGCACCCCCATTTCTTTGTATGTTCTAATACTGATTATAAAAATTAAGTTTCTTCCTTGAAACTGTAGCTAAATTACCCTTTAAAGATAGTCATTTGCTCAAAAGGAGAGTGAATATAATCTATCAGTCAGGTTTATAGTTATAATTTTGTATTTTGATTTTTTTTCTTTCAGATGTATTCTAATAGAAAAGTATGGACTCTAAAGCAGGAAGTTCTATTTCAGCTATCTATTAGCTTCCTTCCTGGCTACTGGCCAATCAGTGTTTTATTCATCAACAATAAGAGAAACATATATACTGAAGGACATCCCCCCATCAACCATGACCAGCCAGCCTTTCTTTTTAGAAGTAACTCCTTCATTTTTAGTCTCATTTAGGAGATTAAACTAATTAGAACTTATTATGTGCAATGACTATTTAAGTCTTTTTATGTTTCATAGTTTCACCTTATCAGACAATTCAAAGAATTGATTATTGGTTTTGTTTGAGCAGCTTAATATAGTGTATAATATTTGGTTTTTTTAGATTTTATGGAAAGTTTTATGTATTTTCTGCCTTTGTGTTTATTTGACTGGGTTTCCCCCCTAGCTTCATGACATAAAACCCTGAATTTAGAAAATAACTTACAAGACTATAAATTTTCCTATGAGTACTGCTTTGGCTATACTTCATGAAATATGACATGTTGTTCACCTCATAATTTTGTGATTGCCATCTTGATTTCTTCTTTAACTCATGACTTAGTTTAGTATTGGTAAGGGATTTGTCTTATTGGTGGTTATTTGCATGCATTTTTCAGACTTGTGATTCTAACCCTAACTGGACCATATCACCTGTATTTCTTTATCATCTACATTCCAGCTGGCTTCGGCTACTGTACCGGATAAAGCAGTACTTGGCCACATTCCTCTACCTAAAGCCACACTCTTACAGGGATTTTCTTCACTCTTAACTTGAACTTTGTCTGAATTCCAGACACACTTCTTTCCCTTAGCTTTTAGGTTTATGGAAGATCATAACTCCCTGTCAAAACCAATAACCAAGTTTTTCAACAGTCTTATCTGAAAAGTTCAAACTCTAACCTCTACAATATAAAAAGAAAAGCACAATTAACACTGCATGTAACAAGCTCTGATAGTTTGGCTGGATAATCCTGTCAGCTGCTTCAGTGGCACTGCTGCTGCCTCATGTTTTCAACTGCAGTAAGAGGACACAGTAATCTGGAATAGGAGACAGTAATCAAGAGTAATAAACGCTTGCTTGCTAATCATCAAAAAATCTGTGACCATTGGGCTGTCTCACAGAAATTCAAAATAGCAGAAAGGTCAAACCTTACAGAAGATTCATTCCCTTATTAGTCCATATGTCATAGGCCCATAGTAAAGTGTTGCCTTCTAAC